TAAATTTTACTTGCACAGAGCATCACTTCATTTTTGTTAGCTTTAGAGTGTGTTTGGTAGGGATTTTTGGGGGAAGAATTGATTTTTGAATAGTGATATGATGGGAAATGTGTGGTTGAAAAAGAAGAAAAAATATTGATGTGATGGAAAATATTATTTTATTGAAAAATGTGTGGTTGAAAATGAGAATTGATTTACTGTAAAAAAATTTAATCCCTCCCAAACAGGGCCTGTATCTATTTTGTAAAATGATAACTTAGCCCCGTTTGAGTCCCATTTTAAGGAAAAAAAAGAGTTTTATAATACTGATTTTTTTTTTAAAGATTGTACAGTTAAAAAGTTAGAATTTTTTTTGAATTTACATGCAAATTATTCCATTGAAAGAATGTGTGATTAAAAATAAATTTAAAAAAAAAAGTATTTTATGATAACCAGCTTAGTTATCTTTAACTTCAACAAAATAAAATTTTACTTTTTTGAAGTAAAAGTAAATTGTGTGAGCTTGGTCAGGCGTTTGACACTCATTTTAGTAGAAAAATGTGTTTTTGAATAGTGATTGATGGAAGGATATGTGGTCAAAAAGTAAAGAAAATTTTTAAATTTATGTGTAATATTATTTTATTGATAGAATATGTGGTTAAAATGAAAAAAGAGAAAAAAAATAAGAATGAGAACGAGAAAAAAAACTGGTGCCAAACGATGGCGAAGTGGACAACTCATATCCTCCAAATCAATTGATTCAAAAAGCCAAAGTATATGGACCCCACCTGACCATTTAATTCTTGGACTTTGCTATAGGTACCCACGGGCTATACACAATATTTGGGCGGGATTTTTTTTTTTTTTAAATATTTTATACATGTAGCCCATTACATTTGAATTTGAATTCAAAAATCTGGTTTTGATAAAAATTCCCTATACTTTAATCATTTTCCTTAATTTTTTAGCAGAACTCTTGCCAACCACAAGATTTTTTGGCTACTTTTGTAACCACTATCTTGTTTCCACGTGTCATCCACCACACCAACCCCCCGTTGGACTAGCCCCAGGAATGAGCCCAAAAACTCATCCACCATATATTTTCATGAGGCAAAGAAAATAATTAAACAGAAATGTTGAAGGAAGAAAATGGTGCCACCAGCAAATCCACGTGTCATCCACCACACCAACCCCCCATTGGACTAGCAACATGAATGAGCCCAAAAAATCATCCACCATATATTTTCATTAGGCAAAGAAAATAATTTAACAGAAATGTTGAAGGAAGAAAATGGTGACACCAGCAACAATTTGGCTCGTATGTGTGACACGTGCCAAGCCGCACCGTGGACGGTGTACTGCCGGACAGACGCTGCCTATTTGTGCAACGGCTGCGACGGCCGCATCCATTCCGCCAACCGGGTGGCTTCGCGGCACGAGCGCGTGTGGGTGTGTGGGGCCTGTGAAAGTGCTCCGGCTGCCTTTTTCTGCAAGGCTGATGCCGCTTCCCTCTGCACCACCTGCGACGCTGACATCCACTCGGCCAACCCTGTAGCTCGCCGCCACAAACGCGTGCCGATTCCCGGCTCACTCTACGGTCCCTCTGCGGCTACCCCAGGTGCACTAATAATGTCTCCGACTGGGGACGCGAATGATGCAGACGACGAGTTCTTGACACCGGAGGAAGACGAAGCAGCTTCTTTGTTATCTCTAAACCCTGTCAAGAATAGTGAAAATGAAGAGAACAATGATGGGCAGTTATTAGGTGAAGCTGATGAATATTTAGACCTTAATGAGTACAATTCATGTCAAGAAATTCAATTCACTGATGATAATGATAAAAAATTGTATGGTGGCGATAGTGTTGTGCCAGTTCAGTATGGATCAAAGGGTCAAAAAGAGGTTCATAAAAATAGTTTTCAGTCAGATATGGAGTATGAGATCTCCAATGCTGGCAATGGTTATCACAGTGTAAGTTTTCTTCTGTACCTAATTATTGTTGATTTGGAGAGTTCTAATTAATTAATGATTGTTCTAAATTAGGTTTCCATTTCATCCTTGGATGTTGGAGTTGTACCAGAATCATCAGTCTCCCAGCAAAGACCCTTAAAAGGCACAATTGATCTTTTCCCAAGTCCACCTATCCAAATGCCAACACAACTTTCTGCCATGGACCGAGAGGCCCGTGTCTTAAGATACCGGGAGAAGAGGAAGATGAGGAAGTTCCAGAAGACGATTAGATATGCAACGAGGAAGGCTTATGCAGAAACTCGACCCCGAATCAAAGGTCGATTTGCGAAAAGAACGGATGTTGATCAAATGTTCTCTACAAGTTCAATAGCAGATAGTGCTGGATATGGAATCATACCCTCATTTTGAGGCCATGTAACTATCAAAGGTTTTTCAAGAAAATTTAAGGATTTGTCTTAGATTTGTACCAATCATTTCTGCAGCTACTTCTGCAAGTTCTTTAGAATAATTTTTTTGTTTTGTGCGACAAGTTAAACATAATGGATAATACTATTGAAGGTTGATTCAGAAATTGGTATGTGTTAATTTCTACTTAGATTTAGTCAATGATATTGGTTTAAGTTGCAGGCATTTGCTCCATATTCTTCTGGTTTTTAGTTAATCAAAGTGAGTATAAAGTAGTGGCAATAAAATTTGATGTTAGTTGATATTTTTTAGCTGTTTTCAGTTTGCTTGTAATTCTATACATAGGCACCTTTAGTTCTGGAATAAATGGCGGATAAGAACCTGTATTTTCTCCATTTTTACTCTGCATTTTCTCTGTTTTACTTTGCTGCAAATTTTGTATTCTTGTTCTTTGCTTCTCTAAATTCCCAACATTTGTGATATCAGAGCCTAGGTCTTTCATAGCTGGGCGAAGAACTCATGGCAACTAATGGCAATGTCGTGAATATTTCTCAACCTTCAGTTCCACTGTTCCAGTCTTTGAGAGAGAATGCTATATTATGAATTCTGAAGCATTAAAATGAAGATTTTGTTTTAAGTGTAAAAATCTTTGGGACTTGGTTGAGAATGGATATCCTGATCCAGATTGAAAGAAAATAAGGTCTCCAAGGCATTATTCTTTATTCAACAAGCAGTTCACGAGACTGTTTGGGCAAACGATTTGGGCAAGAGTGGTATTCAGTGTCATTATTGCAAACGATTTGGGCAAAGGTTGTTGCTACTTCAGCCTACTTGTTGAATTTATCTCCAACAAATAATGTTTTGAACCATACGCCATATGAAGCTTGAAATAGTAGACCTTGGATAAGGCGCTTAAAAATTTTTGGTTGCATTTCCTATGCTTTGATATATTCACTTAATTGTAGTAAACTCGATGAAAAATCTGTAAAATGTATTTTTGTGGGTTATTGTTCTCAATCTAAAGCATATAGGCTATATTTTCGTGGGTTATTGTTCTGTATAATCCTGTTAGTGGCAAAAGGGTATTCCTAGGTGTTGATTATGACGACCCATTTTCTGATGTCGCTCGATTTGAAACAATGAGAACCATTTTAGCTTTGGTTGCACAATCGAGCTGACATGTTTTTGAATGGAGAATTGGAGGAAGAAGTTTATGTCGCCCAACTAGAAAGTTTCATCATTCAAGACAAGGTGTACAAATTGAAGAAATTCCTCTATGATCTAAAGCAGTCACTATAGACTTGGCACAATAAGGTAGATTCTTACTTTCATCAAAATGGCTTTGAGAAAAGCAAAAATGAGCTCACACTTTATTTGAAGAGAAATGGTAAAAATGATCTTCTCATTGTTTGTCTTTATGTTGATGGCATAATTTGTATGGGTTCTTC